CCCTGAGTTTTTCAACAGTCAAAAAGAACAGTTTTGTGGGTGGTCCCTTCTAAAAGCTTAAAATGGTTGTTGATTCAAGTACAAAGGGAAACAACCCGTGGGTGCTTACATTTAACTACTGTATTTAAGTACAGTACTTAGAAAAAATATTGTATTTACATATCCAGAAATTTCATAAGCTGACAGCCTGGTGGAGTGAGCTTGCCACCAGAATTGCCACACCTGTCAGTCAGGTCCAGCCACTGGCTGATTAGGTAGCAAGCAGAAAAGCCAATTAAAGACAGAAGAGGGGAAGAGAGAAAGAGAATAGAAATGTCGGAAAATCTCCACCACCAAAGAATCACAGTGATCTTCCAACACTTATTTTTATTCTCACATCTTCAGACTATTTGGAGTTTATTATACCCAGATGGGAATTCTTTCTAATGAAAAGATTTGGTTACTTTGCTTTACCGGTAGGTACTATTAATAATGTTTTTCCAGAAAGTGGAAGCTGAGCATCATTAAAGATAAGGTCTGGGTTTTTAATTTAATGCAACAGATGTGCAAATATATGTTGACTCGTTATTAGCTAATTTGTTATGTGTTTATGGCTTCTCTTTCTTGCCAAACTATAAGTATCTTTAGATCAGAAGTCATGCCTAAGTTTGGCTAGGGTCCTCAGCCTTTGCTTAATAACTATTTTCAGATTTGACTGTACTTCTAAACACTTACTCCTATTCATTTTGATGGTCTCCCCACACAATAAAAAAATAGACATTTAGACAAAAAAAATAAGTAGAATACGATAAAGTCACTGAGAAACATAATATACACACACATACATTCCACAGAGCTTTATATGATCAATAAATTAGACTTGGATTGGCTCTGAGTCTTCTAGAGGCCAAAGTAAAAGAGAAAATATAATCAGTTAAGAAATACACATTATTCCTGAGATTAAACATAATAATTTATCATAAATAAGCTATATATAAAAAGTATACACAATCATTTTGCATTAGTCTATATCTTCACTTCAAAAATGTCTATATTTTCATCGATCAATTATGTTAATCTTTATTTTAAAGAAAATCTAAACAAATATTGGCTATTAAGGATATCTTATTCAATACTTTTTCTTCATATTAGTTTATGGGAAGGAAAATTAAATTTACAATTTAAATGCACTTATTTGAATCACTTAACCAATTTGTTTATGGTCGCATCTAGTTATGAAACTTGAGTCGCAAGCTTCATCTCCCTTCTTAAATATTTAATAAGTTCTAAACTTGTAAGAGGAAACTGAACTTTTTAAATAAAATGCCTCCAAAAGAAACATTGACAATTTTCATTTTTACATAAATAGAACAGCATTCCCTCCCCTCCAGCCTTCCACACACCCCCATACCTGGCATACAAAAAGAAAAAAAGAAAACAGTGGGTAGTTTTCATTACTTAATACAAAGGAAAATTAATGGAATTAAAGTCAACATTCAAATGTAACAAACCAAAGAACTAGGATACTCTATTACTTTGCCTTATGATATGTGAAGATAATGCCTAAATTATCAAATGTATATTATGTGCCACACAGCTTGGACTTTTAAAGGTCAAATAAGTATTCCTCAATGAATTTATTCAATGAAACCAGCCCTTCTCTTCCTGTGTTAAGCTCTGACTCTTCCCAGGTTTAATAAAAGTTGTTCTCTCTCTCTTCACTCTTCCCCCGCCAATCCCCACGTTTCCAATAGGAAGTCCCTTACAATGTTGAAGATATTTACACATAAATTTATGACATAGGGTAAAAATAACAACAAAAGATTCAGAGTCAACAGAGTATTACTTTAAAAGGAAATTAATTGTGAAGAAGAAAAGAGGAACAACATAAACTCAGAAAGAGTCTGAATGGTAGTATATAGTACAAATAATTCTCTATTTGGGGGTCCTGAGAAATTTCAGCAAGTGGTTGTGGAGTAATGAATGTTTGTAATTCATTAGCTACTATTTTAAAATGCAAAGCACACCATGACATCAATGATGTTCTTTTTAATCTCAACAAACAGGCTATTACAATTAAAGCACTCTCAAAAAGACAGTATATTTAAATATAGATTTTGGTAAGACTTCAATATGTTAATAACAATGATTCAATAACATTTCATAATTCTATAGAAAGAAAATGTGTTATAAGATTGGTTTAAAAATATATGTTTATATACACCACCCTTCTGTGAGTGTTTAGTAACAGCTAGCATTTCTATCCTGAAAATGTCTTTTCCTCAGTACCCTTGAGTAAGGTTTCAGATCTTTAAGAAAATAATCACTGTTTACTAAAAAAAAATAATTTTTTTCCCAAGTAGAGAAAATAATAGCATTTGAAAGTGCTTGATTTTCTTTTCTCACTTTCCATCTTCCTTCAGCTCCTAGACAACAAAACAATGGTTCTTTCTTCATGTGGAAGAGTAAACTCAATAAACACAAATGGCTAGGGGGCCTCACAGCAGTGAAATTATGGCTTCACAAGGACTTTTTTTTCTTTTTGAAGAAACACTTTTAAAAGGACCTTTTCCAACATACTTTAAAGTCATGCATGTTTCAATGATATAATTAAATTGGCAACACTAAACATTGCTGACTGATAAATGAGGCCAAAATAATTAAGTTCTGTTTTTTGTACAATCAAGATTTAGAGCAGCAATCAATCTGGGTAAGAATTTGGAGTCATGAGATTTCAGAAGATGAACAACCAACTAGATAAAACTGGTCATGTGGGAAGGTGATTAAATGAGTATACAGTTTATACATAGCTGTGGATACCTTCCATGTCTTAATCTTCATTAGAACCTGGTTGATTCATTGTTCGTGTGGTTTCATACTAAACTGGACATGGTATGAGAGTAGACAAACAAAAGAACAGCTTAAAAGATAATCCTATGCACTCATTGAGCACTACTGATCTTGAAAATGTAAAAATATTAATAAATTGAAAATACAAAAGTTTTTTTTCAAAGCAAAAAAAAAAGAGGCTCAAATAATGCAATGGAAAAGATTAAGGAATATTAAGAGTGGTAAAGGGCATAAGGGAGAGAAAGAGAGAACACAATATACTTTCCACATGTGTATTTATGGAACTGTGTATGTTGGATGCCTACTCCAGTTTCCATTTTTATTTATCTTCTACCTCTCCCTTCCTTCCTTAGGATAAGTCACACGGTTTTCCATATCCTATTAACAGCACCCCACTCCACATGGTCTTCCCTGTGGAATCAGACTGTGGTCAGAAAGAAGTGCTGCTATTATTTCTCCTGGAGGCTGGAACTCCAGGCTTCAGCAGACTGATGCACTTAGCAGGTCTATCAGGCAAGTCAGAGCAAAATATAAACAGGGCAGTCGGGTGTGTTAGTAGCTACTGGGATTTACAACCAGCTACAAACATATATACATATATGTATAGGTATATATATGCACATACACATACATATATATTATTTACATAAATTTTAAAAATCCTCTTGTCAGAAGCTTACTCTGATTAGTAGCCATGGACCTTCGAGAAAGAAGGAATATCCTTTTCAGGAAAATGCACCTCCTTTGTAGTGGGCTAAGGAAGAGACATCATGAACAGGTGATATCGCTGTAATTTAGAAAAACGGGAAAACTCAAGAGTGTCCTACTCGCCAACAAAATGAACAAGCACCAGCTGTGTTTTGGCATCTCCAACTATGGATAACCGTCTCTCTTTGACTCCAGGTGCACGTGTCTGCCTCCATGAATGTTAGCATGCGGCTAGGATGAGAGAGCAATGAATGTGTACACGAGTGCTTGCTCGTTTGTAGAGTGGAAATTGCACTTTGTTTTTAAAAAAGGATTTTCCCCCCGGAACTCTGCAATTCAACTCGCTGAAAGCACAAATAGAATAAATACACATGCAAAAACAGAGGGGGAGGGGGCGAAAAAATAAACCCCACCCAGGAACCTTCTTTTAAGAAACAGGTGCTAGCTAGCAAGAGAAAGCAGCCAGTTGCCAATAACAATTAAAACTCCATCTTCCTGACTCTGAAAACAATTTCTATGGGGAAATAGGCGCCCTGTTTCCTAGGGTTTAATTCACTAGGTTGTCTCTGTGAATTAGAGTCAGATCTAAGTTTCACACTCAGGAGCGGTTTTCGCTGTCGACTACTACTGCCCTCCCAGCTCAGAGAAGTCCGTTTCCAAACTGGGTAAGCCCTTTTCTCCGAGCAGCCTTGACCTCACTCCTCCAAGTCGTCACTTTTATTTATGGCCCCGTGAGCAGTGTCTGTGTCGCTCAGCCAGTCCCCAAGAACAGTCACCGCGAACAATGAGCCAGAGGAGGGACCCACCCAGCGAACGCCTGCTCTCCGGCCGCGCGCAAGCCCGCTAGCGCGGGACGCTCCTGGCTTGGGGGCTCCCGGTGCCCCATCCTTTCCCCTCCAGAACCCAAGAAAAACAGGAAGGTAGGTCGTTCCCGACACCTAGACTCTCGTAATCACTCAGTAAGCCCTGTTCCCAGAACCCACCAATTAAAGCTGCCGTATCTCAAAAGAAAATCTGAAGAGGGGGCGGCGTGGCGGTCCCGCCGGCTGCCCACCCGGATGTAACTAGCCCAGTTGGGGGGTTTGGCACTCACTTACGCCCGAGTCCGCGGCTTACTGAAATCCCGAAGGATTTGGGGTGGGGGCAAGAGGTGGGGCCAGGAGCCATAAAGTGGCTTCCGTCCCCTCCCCCCGGCCTGGCACGGCTCCGGGATCGGGCAAGACACAAAAGACGGGTAGTAGCAGTGCCACCAACTCTTCCGCCGCCTCCATCTGCGCTGCGCCGGCGAACGCGGCGGCGGGGCCTCGGGGCCGGGTCCCCGCGCCGCCCGGGGCACGCCCGGAGCCTGGGAGCATCCCTGGACGCCGCCGGAGCTTCCTGGTGCGCTCTGCGCGCAGCCCCCCAGCAGGAGCTTTTAGCTCCACAGATAAAGAGGAGAAATGGAGAGAAAAGGCAAGACTTACTTGGGGACCGAAGGCTCAGCCGGACTCCCGCTTCGGACTCGGCAGGTGTCTGGCACCGCGGGCCCAGGCGGAAGGCGCTGGCGCAGCTCCTAGCTGAGCTCCACTTGAGCGAGGACGGAAACTCCCCTTGCTGCCCGGCCCCGCGCCGCGCTCCTCGCTGTCACGGCACCGAGCGACGCAGGCACGCTCCCCACTGCCGCCTCTGTCCTGGTGGGTCTCTCTGCCCTCCTCTCCCGGTTCGGCTGCTCCCCCACAGACCACACCCTGTCACCTCAGCAGCCCTCCACTCCTTCCTCTTTGACACTTACACCGGTTACTCCTCCGTCTGCGTCCTCCCACCCCCCTCAGCCCACGTGCTTCTGCCGCTCCCTCGGCTCTAAACTTCCCCTGCCAAAGCCCCCACCTCTGCTCTGAAAACCTAAGGTCTCCCAGCTGAGGAAAGGTCCTGGGGTAGCATACAGCTGACTGACCTTTAGGTCATCACCACATCCACCACACTCCCCCCCTCCCCGTCGCCCCCCCCCCCCCCCGCCAGCCACTTAAGTAGGCAGAACCCATTATGTTGATCTTGTTAATGCGATGGTTTAGGTATTGTGTATTATATATATAAGGATGTTATTTTTAATATGTCATCTGTCACTTTTAATACAATTTATTCCTGAGTGTCACTTAGTAATCATCTAGCAGCTTATTCATTGACCTTTGGGACTGGACTATCAGCCCAGCTTTCTGCATAAGGCAAAAAGGCTCAGCAAAATTCCAGAAAACCGTCTTTTGCCCAGTCCAATTCTTTAAATGCCATTTTCTACTGAGACCCCGTCTCTCTTTTTTTCTGCTGTTGTTATAGAAATATTCTGATACTCACTTTTCTCTGTTCCTGCAGACAAAATTAGAGATTCCTTTCTAAGGGCCCCATCAGCACTCTGTTCATAATTTCCATGATAGTTCTTTCCACCCATGTGGTATTCTCTCTCTGTGTGACTGCCTTTACTACTGGTCCATAAGTTTCTCCAGGCAGAAGTTTGTCATGCTCTAACTTTATCAAGCGGCTTCTAATGTAATCCCTGGTATATACTATATGCTCAAAAAACTGTTCAAGGAATGAATGCCCTTTAAATATGATGCAAAGGTTGGTGGTTTTATATCCTATTTAAAGAAATGAAGCCTTCAATGATGGGCTTGTCTGCAGCTCAACTAATAGGTCATGTTGAAAACTAAAACCTTTTTACATTTGGCTGGGTAATTTCTCATACATTCTTTAATGTAATCCTTAAAACAAGTCTTCTTTGTAGGTGTTACCGACTTTTTCTAACTTGGTGAATGCAACGAAGTTCAAAGCTCCTAAGCATCAGAACTGGGCTCTGCATTTCTCCAGACTAGCACAATCTGTGTGAGGTTGGCATTCTTTTTTTTTTTTTTAATTTTATTTATTTATTCGACAGATAGAGATCACAAGTAGGCAGAGAGGAGGAACCAGGCTCCCCACCAAGCAGAGAGCCTGACGCGGGGCTCAATCCCAGGATCCTGGGACCATGACCTGAGCCGAAGGCAGAGGCTTCAACCCACTGAGCCACCCAGGCGCCCCCCCCCCTTTTTTTTATTTTATTTATTTATTTGACAGATAGAGATCACAAGTAGGCAGAGAGGCAGGCAGAGAGAGAGGAGGGAGGTTGGCATTCTTATCACACTTTCATCCTGCCCTTACTGCCCAGTGCCGGATGCTAAGCTACCTACTAGCTCCATGGAAGAGCCTGCCCAACCAGCCTTTTCCAAAGTAGTATTTTTCCCTTCCATTGTTCTCTCTTCAGCCTCTTAAGTCAGAGCTCTAAAAACAAACAGCAAAAACAAAAACTTCCCTAAACTCAGACCTCTTATAAGCACTTATTGTCTTAATTCTTAAACTCATTTAAAAAAAAAAAAAGGTTGCTTTGTTTTGTTTTTTCATATATCTTGCTTCAGCTATCCTGTGTCCTACACAGGGATTTATTTCTTTGATACCTTCTTTGAAATAAAGAGAAGCTAACATTAAGTTAGAAACATCATCTAACAGCCAGCCATTACTCTGAGGCCTTTGCACATATATTAGCTTATTTAATCCCCAACAACCTTAAAAAAGTAGAGATTATTTTATACATGGGAAATAGGCACAGAGTTGGGGTCACATAGCCAGTAATTAGTGTGGAACAGGGGTTGGATTCCTGACAGTCTGCCCCAGGAGCGGCTCTCTCTCCACCTTCAGTGATTCCTTGTACCTAAGAGATGTTAACAAATACTTCTAAATAATTCATACTTACTCCTCTAGTTTTAATAACAGAAAAAAGCTTAATAGCAGACAAGAGAGACCATAAATTATGAAATGGGCAGACTTCAGGTTATCAAGGATATATGATTGGCCCCAACACCGTGAGAAATGCTTTCTTTGGTGGGATTATGGACTCTACCTCTGACATATATTTGAAATATGAGAGGAATACAGTCCAGGTTCATGACTTCAGGTGTGTGTATGAGATAACCAAGACTTCAAGGCTGAATTCCAGATCTTTCCTCACAATCAGTGAAGGACATCCCTGGCTAAACTGACTCCTGGCTAAGCCCACCCAAGCCAGTGTATGTTCTTCAGGGATCCTGCTCTGTGTAAGTCACCTCCTCAGTCCTTGTGGCAGGCTGAATAATGGCTCACAAAAGACATTCATGTCTTAATCCCTGAATCATGCCAGTTATTCCTTATGTGGCAAAAATATGGACTTTGCTGATGTGATTAATTAAGGATCTTTAGGTGGAGAGATCATCCTCATCCTAAATGTAATCATGTAACCATGTCCGTATAAGAAGCAGCAGAAGATTTGACTCTGAGAAGAGAGGGCAACATGGTCAGAAAGGCAAAGACGGGAGGGATGCAGCCACAAGGCAGGGAATGCCAGAAGCTGGAGGAGGCAAGGGAGGGTTTCTCTCCAAGAGCCTCCTGAGACAGCATGGTCCTCCCTACATGTTGATTTTTGGACTTTGGGTCTCCAGAAATGTAGGGAAATAAATGTATGTTGTTTTAAACCACCAAGTTTGTGGCAGTTTGTTATAGCAGCAGAAGGAAACTACCACAGTCCCCAAATCTAGAAGATGACTTTCTATAGCTAGGGTTGAAATAGATGTCCCAAGCAGTTGGTCAGTCCTCTCTTCTATGGATGACAGAGCCAATCAATTGAGAGAGAAGGGGGAGGCATTTGATTCCCAGCATCATACGATGTAAAATCTCTGCAATTTAGACTTTTTCATTGCCTCCAGGTAATAAATATGTAAAATAACCGGGATACACTTAACACAACTTAAAGTAAACTTGAAATTCAAATTTGTTTTCCACTATTTGACCACACTACCTAAAGTATATGATGGTTTAATATTAAAATATATATGCTATAATTATGTAGGGAATAGTAAAAACATATCTTCATTGAGTTAGAGGTGTTAATTTGTGGCCACCTGGGTGGCTCAGTGGGTTAAGCCTCTGCCTTCGGCTCAGGTTGTAATCTCAGGGTCCTGGGATCCAGCCCTGCATCAGGCTCTCTGCACAGCAGGGAGCCTGCTTCCCCCTCTCTCTCTGCCTGCTTCTCTGCCTACTTGTGATCTCTCTCTTTAAAGAAAAAAAAGTGTTAATTTGTAAAATGAAAAAATATATAAACACTCTATAAACTTTGTAACACTTTTTGGAACTTTTCTCACATTTTGCTATATTTGAAATCTCTGAACAAAGAAACAAACCAAAAAATGTGGCCTAGAACTTTTTCATCTCTGAGAGGTCTTGGTAACTGAAATTAAGAATTTTGATAAATTTACTAAAAAAAAAATTTTTTTTTTTTTTGCTTTTTTAACTAGATCTACCAGATAAAATACAGGACACCCAATTACACTTGAATTACAGATAAACAACTAGTAATTTTTTGGCATAAATCCACATGCCATACAATTTTTGAGTCCACAAATCATCTCTATTTTTTTTTTAAAGATTTTATTTATTTATTTGTCAGAGAGAGAGAGGGAGAGAGAGTGAGCACAGGCAGACAGAATGGCAGGCAGAGGCAGAGAGAGAAGCAGTTTCCCTGACGAGCAAGGAGCCCGATGTGGGACTCGATCCCAGGACGCTGGGATCGTGACCTGAGCCGAAGGCAGCTGCTTAACCAACTGAGCCACCCAGGCGTCCCAAATCATCTCTATTTTGAAAGCTGCTGTTAACCATGCATTATTTGGGATTTGGAGATGTGCTTATACTAAAAAGTTTTTTATTGTTTATCCAAAATTCAGATTTAACTAGGCGCTCTGTATTTTTATTTGCCCAATCTGACAATCCTGTTTTGTGTTTTCCTATTCTTCTCCCTTCCCTAGAATCTCCACCTTTCCCCCTCAGTTTTCATTGGGACTAACTAATTTATGTTCACTTGAAGCAAGGCTAAAACAAAATTTAACCCCTCACTGCTGGCCTAAGTTCTGAAGCCTTGTTCCACATAGAAGAAGTGGGAGAATGATGTGAGTCTCCTTTTCTTTCTTGTTTTAAAGATGTATTTATTTATTTATTTGACAGAGAGAGACAGAGAGGGAACACAAGCAGAGGGAGAGGGAGAAGCAGGCTTCCCACCAAGCAGGGAGCCCAATGCAGGGCTCAATCCCAGAACCCCAGGATCATGACCTGAGGCGAAGGCAGACGCTCAACAACTAAGCCACCCAGCCATCCCTGATGTGAGTCTTCTAAGATTTGGCCATCGAGTAAGATCTAATCCACCAGGGATGCCTGGGTGGCTCAGTTGGTTAAGCAGCTGCCTTCGGCTCGGGTCATGATCCCAGTGTCCTGGGATCGAGTCCCACATCGGGCTCCTTGCTCATCAGGGAGCCTGCTTCTCCCTCTGCCTCTGCCTGCCATTCTGTCTGCCTGTGCTCACTCTCTCTCCCTCTCTCTCTCTCTGACAAATAAATAAATAAAATCTTTAAAAAAAAAAAAAAGATCTAATCCACCATTAGGAATTTCCCATTTGGTGACAGAGTGTTAGGCATGCTCCTATTTATCATACAGATAGTAGATTGGATTAAAATGAAGACTTGTTTTTTTTCCTTTTGAACTAC